AGGGCATGGGGAAAAGAGTAGCCAAGAAACCAGAGCGGTTAGTGCAAACTTGGGGCTATGTTTAGATTAAAATAGTTTTTGTAATCAGAGGTGTTTGCTAATCCTATTAGAGTCAAAGCAGAGGGAGCAGGGCAGGCGTAGGCCTCATGTTTGGCTTAATAAAACAGGATAAAACTTAACAAAGGAGCAGTGAACAATCTGCCAGATTAGAGTCTTACATAACAGGTCAACAAGTCAGCATAACAGACCAGCAGATGTTTGTAACTTCTTGGCAAAGCCAGTTGGTTCTCTCTACAGCAAACATGTGCAGTAACATTTTCCACTTGCAGGTGGTGCTGTTGTCACACATGTCACATTCACACACTGCATGATTATGTAGACACACCCACAGAGCCACGTGAGACTGGAGAACATCCAGCCACCCATGCACACAGCAGCTAAATCAAACTTGTTTAGAAGCTTAGAAAAATTCACTGTGATACATTTCAGACAAGTGGAGAGCAGGTGTTCAGCCTCTCACCTAGTTTGAGTGCTCCAGCCAGTCCTCTGATGACAGTGACTGGGTTGGCAGGGTTGGTGCAGAACTGTTGAAGAGGAGGAAAGAAGGCATCCCTCTTGTTTTCAAGCTGTATGTCAGGGAGGAGAGACAGGAGCGGTCAGGGAACATGAACTGACTCCAGACTCACATTAAGGAGGAGTGTTTGCATTTTAGTGTTGAAGCTAAGACACTGTTGCTCTAGCATTACACACACCACCACCATGAATGCGTCTCCTTCTAAGGGGTGGTGGGCTGTACGTACATAAATACTGGGTGTGGGAGGGTTGAGTTTGTCCTTTGGCAGTGGAGGAGAGGGTGGGGGAGGGGGACGTGGTGGGGGACACTTGTCCAGCAGGATGCTGCTCGTCGACAGGCCGTTCTTCCCCAGGTTCCTGCAGCCAGAGCACAGGGAAGAGACATCAGCCACCTCATCAGCTCAGGTCAAAGGAGGCTGTCATGTGCGCAACACACATCGCATGTAGGACAGACAACAGGCCATTAAACAAAATGCAGCGAGTGAACACTACAGTGCATCTGACTTCATTTTAATGTTCCCTTATGCCTGTACATCTTTGATGGGCACTTCATTTTGTATTGTTGATACGTGATATGTTTATACTTGACTGTTTATCAGTGAACACACCTGTGTCATTCTCTTTACAACATCATTTTAATGTTTATACTTGACTGTTTAAAACGTTTGGGTCACCTCCATGTTCCCGGTTATCAGTGAACACACCTGTGTCTTTCTCTTTACAACTAAAATCAAACAATCAAACAGTTGGGACAGACAGCACGGCTACAGACGCAGAGGTGTTGCACTTAAGTTGCTTTGCTTTCACTCTTCACCTGGAAAGTCTGGACACTGTGCTGAAGTTCCATCATCTTGTACCTTCCTGCTCCACAGCCTGGAGGTGTTTGACTGATTTTCCTTCTACAGGTTGAAACCTTGAGAAGCTCTGACTTCCTGTGTTCATGGCCTTTTTTTAAATGATGCTTCAGGGGGTGTAGTAACAGTCTTTTCTAACACTGCCTTTGTACAGAGACGATTTGTTGTTGTCAGTCATCAACAACAGTTGGGACCTGCAGGAACTGTTTGCATCAGTTTTCAAAGTTTCATTTACTTCCACTGCTGCAGAAAAGATAGAGGTTCACCTGCTACTGGATCCCTGAAAAAAACCTGCTTTATACGACATTTATCTCATGTTTTAGTTTTTGGTTATGTTTTATTTGACCTTTATTTCTTAGCTTTCTACCACTTAAGGTTCTTCACTGGACTTCTGATGTTTTCTACTCGTTGAGATGTTTTCTTGAACTGTTCACTGCTTTGAGGCGTTTATCACCCTGGGCTGGTCAGATAATTATCAACACCTGTCAGCAACTCATTAGCGTGCGTACATGTACACACGCTAATCAGTACATACAGGTGTAGAATCGGTTTCTAAGTGTTTTGACTTGACAAAGATCTGACTTGTATTAAAATATTGGGTTGTGCAGGTGTTACTTTTTCCATCACTGTCACGTGGTCTTGTCCTTTTCAGATGACAGTGGGCTGGTGTGAACAGCAATTTGCATACACCTGGCTCAACATCAGTCAGTAACACATGTCTGATTGCAAGATTACAACTGAAAATTGAACTGAGTCAATTAACCGATGCTCCCACCACCATGGTGACCAGTCATTTGTTAAACTGTCAAAATGTTGCTGTTTAACTTTTGATTACAGACATGTATATGATCCAAAAAAGTCTAAAGAAGTCAGAAACAACCCAAAGAAAGTTCCAATATTAAAGGAAAGGATTCAGCACCTCACTGGTTCCCAGTGTATTCACTCTCTCTCAGACCCAAACACATACACACAATCTGGTCATATCTGGACTAGGAACAACAGAGGCCGTGCAGACCTCTCACCTGCATGCTTTGAGCACTTCAGTGGAGCTGGGGTAAATGGAAACCGAGGACCAGGGTGACAGACCAGCAGGGGCCACGTGTCTCCGAGCTCCTCCAGAAGGCTCCACCTTCAGTGGACTCCGAGAGTCCTCCAGCCCCTTTCCATTGAGAGTGGGCACCTGGCGGTTGGACGGGCTGTTAAGGCAGGAGAAGCTGTTGGTGGTGCGAGGTTCTGCTGAGCAGGGAGACGGCGCTGCAATGGCTGAAAGTGACGAGGATGCCACTGAGTGCTCCGATGTTGACTTGGCGGCACCATAGAGACCTGGGTGGATGTTGTTGATTTTCTCTGAGGAAGGTCCTCCATGGTTACTGTAGTTATTGTTATCATCGTTACTAGTAGTATTGGCTTTTCCCTTTAGCAAGTCCGAGAGCTTAGGATTGTCTGAACTGAGCGCACAAGAGGCAGGAGAGCCAGGCTGAGACAGACTAGCAGAGCTGTCATTTACCCGCGGCTGGACATGATTAATCAATCCCTGCGCGGAGGTGGTGGTGGGACTAAGGGGTGTCCCTGTGGAATGCCCGACTGCAGTCTCTGGACCTGATGGCAAAGTTACAGCTGCACCACTGCTGCCATTGTTGCCCCCTGAAGGCGCGGTGTCTTTGGTGTGGACCCCTGAGGTAGTAGCAGAGTGGGGAGGCGAGGACAAGTGGTTGGGCGTGGACTGAGGAGAGGTGGGGGATAAGGAGGAGGCTGAGGAGGAGGCAGTGCAGGGCCCAGTGGAATGTCCAACCTGATTCAGAATGCCAGAGGAAGAGAATGAGGTCTGAGGAGAGGAGGAGGAAGAGAAAGGGGGTTCTCCATTAGGGCCTGCCGAATGTGAACCTGGACCCTTTTGAAGTCCCTGGACAGACAGGAAGACACATTGAATTACACACAGAACATTAAATGAGCCTGTGGCAGAATCCAGTTACATTTAAACATCAAAAACAGGCAGAAAACAGTGGTTTAAACAACAAGGCTATTATATCATAGTCATGTAAAATAACGAAACCTCAAAAGAACCAGTGGAATACCTGAGTCGTAGTGTGGCGCTGTTGATTCCTCCATGTCTCGTCTGCCTGACTAGGACTACTGGTAGTGCTGCTGGTGCTGGGGCAGCTGGTGGCTGTGCAGTTGTGAGGTAGAGAGTTCTGCTGTGGATAAGGCACATTTCCGTTGCTCACGCCACCACCTCCCAGTCCCAGGGTGTGGGTACTGCCCAGGTGTCCCAACAACCCTGATGAAGGACTTGAAGAACAGGATCCATTGGCTGTGGGTTGGGTGACACATGGGGGCCGAATGGCTGTGTGATTGAGGGGGGAGAGGCCTGCATGGTGCTGGGGGGCCTCAGCCAAGGGACCATTGGGAAGGCTGGGCTGCAGCCGGCCACCTGCTGCTGCCTGCTGCTTCATCTGACACAAGGACAGAAGCAGGAGAGGTGAACACAGAACAATACTTGCATCTATCAGTAGAGAACCATTTCTACTTGAACAGCTATACAACAATCAATAAAAACAGCTGAGAAACTGTACAACTACACTGCTGTATAATCAGTGTTCTGTGTTTACCTGCTGCTGCATCAGAGAGAACTGGTTCTCCAGCTGCTCCAACATCTGAACCTGGGGAGGCCTGAGGTTTGCTCGGTTAGTCCGCAAGTGATCCAGCTGCTGCACATTTCACAACAGTTTACAGTTTTAATTGGCAAAGTTAAATACATGATGCACATGATTTTGTTACAAGGATCCAGTTATTGTCATCTACACCTCTTGGAAGTTAAAACACAAACCGGCCTGACCTTTGGTTTATTATGTAAACACTTCGGTCAGAAATGGTCAGATCAGTTGTGATTTATGAAATGGCTCAACAAAGTTAAGCTCTGTATTTATGAATGAACTTGGCAAGTAGGGGTTAAGATGTTTGTCGTCTCTGGTTCGAGTCCAGTTGGGGACCTGTGCAGCACGTCTCCCTCATTTTTTGTGCCACGTACTGAAGCCGTAAAATGCCCCCCCCCCAAAAAAAACACAGTTCTGAGACAACGTTATGTGCCTCAGCCAGTGGTCCACCAGGATGTGCTGCTTCAACTGTTTCTACATCAAACTGGACCCTGACATCAGGAAAAAAGATCATGATGAAATCAGCTTATAAAACTCTCCTTGCTATTTTCTCATCAAGGCAGCAATATATTGAAATGCATAGAGGACATTCACATTAGCTACAGTATGGCCAAGGAGGCTGCATACATAGGCACGTTTGCTGTGTCTGGCCTGGTAATGCACATTGGAACTCCAGAGCCTAGGTTGACAGATTCATAATTGCTTCAGGTCTGCATTTTGCACATTTTCCATAAAAAAACAAATTTAAAACATAATTTTTGTGCATAATGGGTTTCTCCAAAGAACATCAATATTATACACAGGAAAAATAATAATGAGATATTTTCCTACCTGAAGCTTTTGTGGCGTTAGGTACCAGCTGGGGACCTGCTGCTGATTGGGGCTGTTTGCTGACACATCTGCAGCACTCTGACAGAGAGAGAGAGGAAACTGTACCACTGTTCTGCGCTTTTGTCCAACACAAAAATAATGTTCATGTTGTTGGCAGTACCTTTGCATAATGTTCATGTTCATGTTGTTGGCAGTACCTTTGCTGGACTGGCAGTACGTTTCCTCTTGGCTGGACTGGCCTGTGGGTCTGTGTGATTACTGGTGGACTGGCCTCCCTCCCCCTTACAGGCCTAGCAATCCAGCACAGAGAGACAGTTTGTGAGGATGTGCTGGATTAACAATAGTCAGCAACGCTTCTTCCAAGTTCTCTTATTCAAGCACACAGTTTTAATTGAGGCCATAATGTTTGAAAAGGAGAAAACTGTTACTACATTTACATGCACACCAATTCCAGCATTTAAAACTTGCATGTGTGACAATACTCTGATTAAAATAAGGTTTGTGCTATCACCTTAATCTAACTGACAGAGGTTGATTAAGGTCATAATCAGAGTATTCATGCTGTGATTACAATGTGAAATAATGCAGTATTTGTTGCATTACTGGACTGTTTGACATGCAGAGTCTATATTCTGTTTTCACTGCTGCTGACAGTTTCCTAAAACCCTGATGTACTTACAGATGACATCAGGTTACATTCAATCAACCACACCCCAAACTTCCAGACAGGATTAGGTAAAAAAAAAGATGCAACAGCTGTTTCTCTGGGAATTAGTTTGATTCAAAATTCATTTCCCATCTCTCCCATTTAATTGTCTTTGCTAAACAGTGTAGCTCAAGCAGGTGCTATCTGTAGCCAAAGGAAGATGGTGTCAATGGTAACACTTACATAAACATGGATTAGACAAGGATGGTGGGAGGACTACATAAAACTGATGTGTTTATGGTGGTGGAGCAGTTTGTAGACTTGATATGCACACCAAGATCTGTCTCATTTTAAAACAAAGATGTGACAAATAGTCCGCTTTTAACTGGGGGTGTGCGATATGTATCGTCTACGATAAGTTGTTTTAGGGAGCTGATATTGTGGAGTTTGTCACTCACTTTGCAAAAAACAATCAAAACCCCATCTTGAGAGTTCACGCATTCACTGTGTCATGTAGCCTAGTAGGACAGACTACTGCACGTGCACAGTGTGCTGGTATTGGTGTACAATTCACCAAAGTTAAGCTAGTGTAGCTGCCTAAAATGCATGACTGAAGTTAAAAATCCAGCGCCAGGAGACAAAACACGGACATGACTATGCTGTTAGGAATCGGCTGCTAGACGCGACTCATCCTCACTCACATGGACGTAGTTTGGCTTTGAAAAGACACATGCATGCTCAAAAGAAGTCAGTATTTGTTGGAAGTCAGCTTGTTCCACCATTTGCAAACTAACCACTCAACAGAATATAAAGCCTACGAAGAGCTCCGGGGGTCGGCTGTCGACGACAGGATTAACCAGCACAAAACCGCACTCAGCAAACTTCAGTGGAATCATTCTGCAAAAAAGTGCCTGTTTTCCTTACATAGGTCATTTCTATTAACATCATTAGTAAGCAACAATGAAAGTCTCGTTAACAAGTGCAATCTAGTAAAAAGATGAGCCTTTTACACACATTCTGAAGGATGCAAATCGCTGTCTATTGTTACCCCAGAAATGATTGCACACCCCTACTTTCAGCCATTTAAAAAAAAGAAAAGATTCATGATTGTCAAATATACAACACAAAAATGCTTGTATTCAAACTACTTAGCACTTTGTTTTACACTGTACGCTGTAATGACATGCAGCTGTGAGACAAGTTCCTTGTTTTGCTTACAGTTGTCATGTAAAAGAGCGACACTACGATGGCCACCTAGCAGTTAGATCATTGCAACATGGGCGTCACTCCAGTTTCTTCAAACTAAATTCTGGAAACATCAGCATCATCCAGTGCAGATAAAACACCTCCAAGTGTCAGAGGGAGGCCTCAGCTTTAACAGTCTAGAAGCTGGATCTCACCTGCTGTGCCTGTGCAGTGTTCAAGGCCCCCTGCCTG